TATATAAGGTCACCTTGTCATAAAGCAAAACTTGCCTTTCATAAACCTGTGCTGAGTAGGCCTGACTACCTGCTTCTCCTGTGCGTGCTGCATGATGGCACTCAAGATGATCTGCTCCATAACCTTCCCTGGCACCAGATTAACAGGACTGTATGTCCCTGGGTTCTCCTTCCAGAGCTTCTTGTAGATGGTTATCACATTAGCAAATCTCCAGCTGCCCGGTCAACCAACCAGTTGATTAAGTCTGCTGATAAATGATGGAAAGCAGCTTAGCATCACTTCCACCAGCTCCCTTAGTACGCTCAGGTGGATCCTGTCCTTCACTGACCAATGTTCATCTCTCCCCAGTCAGTGGCTGCCACTAGAGTGAAAATGAGGAAAGTCAGGGCTGGCCAAAAGAAAAATGAGGCAGTCACTGCTGAATCCACTAAAATTGTTACAAACAAAACTAAGAGGCAGGCTAAAAAGCTGCTGAAGTTGCCATTCATCGGCTTAGGTCCTTGTAAGAAAACATGGAAGCAGGGAGCTTTGGAGGGGAGCTGTCTCCAAGTATCAGGTAACACCTTCTCTCATGTTCGACATGAGTGAAGGTCAGCTTCTGCAGACCTTCAACAAAAATCTATTATTTGCCTGACAACTGAGATCTTAGTTTACAAGTAAGAGATCAATCTACTTCCAAATTTTCAATTTGTTTTCCATGCCATTCATTTACTATTGCTCCTAACTGTGCACCTACAGATGCTGAAAAATCAATTTTTCATTACCATTAAAAGTAACTAAGACTAGGACAGGCTTGCTCGTAGTCCTCTGAGTCTGAGTAGAAAGTGCAAAAAAAGAACAGAATGCTCAGCCTGAAAGGGTCTTGACTCTCCCCTCTGGCAGCTCAAGTTTGCTGGCTTTCTGGTCACATAGCAGCTACTTCCAGTATGAATTATGAGACAATCTCAAGTGGACGGAAGCATAATATTAATGGTTGCTGGCTGCTGCTATCTCAGAACATACATGTGAAAAAGTCTGTGATGCTAAAAAGCTTTTCCTCAGTTTCTTGCTACCTCCCAAAATAAAGACCTAGCATTTCACCCTGCCTCTCAATTTTCATACCTTTTTTATCCGCTCTGTCCAGTTTCATTTGTCTGGATTTTGGTTTTACTGTTCTGTTGTCTTATGTCTACAAGCGGTCAATGAGAGAAGGATTAATAAGAGCTTTGATCAATATAGCAATTGCTTTATAAACCAGAAAGGTAGGAAAATGAGGGAAGGTCAACAACAGCAAACAAGAAATTTGAAAACAAATTACTAGGCTATGGATTTTTAATGGGTGTATATTCATATTGCCTCTGAATATTAAAGTAATTAAAGAATATGACATTTAGGTTCTTTAAAATATATTCCAATTGTTTGCTTTTATAAGCAAAAGTAAATTTCAGAGGATTAAGTTCCAGAACTGACATAATTAAAGCAGTCTTCCTTTCTGAAACTGAAAACATCATCTTTCAGAAATACAATTTATGATGAATCTTTAAAGCTGAGACCATTTGAGAATAAACACATTTTGAAACAATGAAAATCCAGGTAAAATATATTTTATGTAAGACTGATTTGGTCCCCGAATTAAATTTATCAAGCAGCAGCTTCTAAAAATCCTTTTATTCCAACGTTTTGCAAATATATTGAAATTAATATATCATCCAAATTAGCATCTCCTTCATATCAACCAGTTTTGAGAATAGCCCCTCCACAGGTACTGACCAGAAAATACATGGGAATACTTCAAGGACCCTCAAAGTAGAAGTCGTAAAGAACTACCTGCTAAATTAATCAGCGCATCCTCCTTTCTTTTACAATGTTACTCTCTAGAATAGTTTACAAATAACACTTTCATCTGCATGATACATCAGTAGATGAGCTACTGACTTACCAACAACAGAAGTCTTCCAAATGCTAGAATTTGCAGATAATTAAGTACAAAAAGCATGGCAAATATATATAGATATATCTCTATATATAGATACATAAAGGTATTTCTAAGCACAGAATATGGTTTCTCAAGTTCAATTTTTCAGCCTGGTGCGTTTGAGTTTCTACTTTCATATTCTATACAATTTGTTATTGATCTGGGTACTAAAAAAAATCATCAGGCTAGGAGAAGGGTGTCTGAAAGCAAGTGCTGCATATCAAATGACTGCAACAGAATATCAATCTTTGTTTCTAAATACAGTTTTAGGATTTTTGCCCGAAGGAAACCTCAAAGAAGAAAAAACAACAAAACACTGCTAAGTGATGTTGAAAGTCAGAATTTCAGAGAGTCTAGAATGTTCCATTCTTCTAAAAAGAGATTTTTAACAGAAAAATTGTTTCTGTGAACTCTAGCTTCTCAATAAAGCATTCTGTGCTTGTGGGTTCCGAACAGATCCCTAACTTCAGAAGAAGATACCTCTGCAATCAACTCTTAGCTCTCCAGAGGAAGGAAAACATTTTGAAGTTCTCTCTGGGAGGAAGAAAACCCCACGGTTCTTAGTCTGATGGAGAAAAGAAAGATTCAGGAGTCCCTAAAGTCTCTGAGGTTCAAAAACCAAAGAGATTATATGGTTCATCTATTTCCTTTTTTCCTTCATTTTTAGTAGCTATATTTCATGTTTATTTCCTTTGATATCTGAAATCAAGTTATTGAGCACTTAACTGATAACCATCTTATTCCTCAGGGTGTGGCCTTACTTCTTCAGCAGGTCAGCCTGCAGAATTATTGGTTTAATAGAGGTTTAAGGGAAGATATTATCAGGGTAGATGTCACATTTTAGAAACGAAGGTGCCATTTGGAGTCTACTGATAAGACCCTGTACATTTTGTGTAGGCTATTTCTAAGATGAATTTATGACCTTGGGAATAGGGAAAGGAGATACAGGTTGTTCCACTTCTATTTTTTATTTTTGACAAATTGAAGATGGAAATAATCCCTTTTGGCGATTAAAGTAGTACAAACACAGATTTAATGTTAGCTATTTTGGCTGTAGGCTCTGGAGCTGTCTGCAGCAATGTTAAGTCCTGGCCATCTTTGTGCTGAGATCCTTAGGGGAATATCTATATGGAATGTAAGGCAGCTGGCTGCTGCCATAGGAGGAGACCACAAATGAAGACACTATGCTCTTAAACACACACACAAAAAAATAAAAAACTATTTGTTTGCCAGATGTATGGATGTTCAAATATGCAAAACATTTTCTCCTTCTTCCGTAAGTTCCTCATCCTATCACCATCTGCCACAAAGAAATTTTCCATTCTAGTATTCAGAGTCTGTTTCCTAACAGGAACTACTAGATAATCTGGTAGTTTCCTAATGAGCAGGATAAATAAAGTTTATTATTATTCAAAAAAATAAGACATCAAAACAATTATTTTTTCCTTGTAAAGTTTACTACAAAAAAAACCTGTGGAAAAAGACATGTCATACATTTCTTTATATTCAATGACCAGCTGTTTTAAATTTGGATAATAAGTAATTCACCGTTTTCTGTGTGCAAGTGCAGAATGATATAATGAATTCCCATATGCCCTGAGACGTGCCAGCTATAATAGGTTATCGAAAATCCAGCTGCTGTTACAATAATAGCTGCCAATGTCCGAACTACTGAAGAGAATAATGAATCTCCTGCAAGTCAACTAAGACATAAACTGACAGGCTTCTCACTTGCAATGCGTGGGAATACAATACAGATGTTAATTAAAAAGAAAATTGACCAACATGAAAAATTAGTATGAAGAATCACGTGCATTATTTAGAGTGGGAAATTAATGGCCAATAAATATATAAAGATAATGAATAGTGAACCCATATTTTCATAAGCAGCTCCATTTCAGTTACTCATCCCAAACCACAGAATGGTTTGGGTTGGAAGGGACCTCAAGCATTATCAAGTTCCAACCCACTGCCACAGGCAGGGATGCCAGCCTACTATATCAAGTACTAGATTAGATTGCCCAGGGCCTCATCCAGCCTGGCCTTTAACACCTCCAGGGATGGAGGATGATGTACAGGAAACATCATATCTATATTCATATAAATGTACAGAAACATCCTATAAATTACACAGAGTTTGCAAAATGCACTGTTCCATTGTGATATGTTAGAAAGAAAAAAAAGCAAACAACAATTCCCATGCAGCTCTTCACATATCTAGACTGCTAGATTTTTCAGTGATCACGAAAAATTGATTATAAATATGATTATGAAAAAAACAATTATGTTACATACAAGAACTTTAATGCAATTTTAGATTCAAAGGTACAACTCCCCCCTTAAATAGTTAAAATAAACACGCACAAACTAAGACTGAAAGACAGTAACCAAAAGAGGTCATAAGACTCTCACAGGCAAATGTAACTCTTGTCTTCAAGTTGGCATAAGTACATTATTACACATACTTATTTCTTTAAGATAATTGTTCTTAAGGAAGATAAGTTTTAAATCATCCCATAAATCATCAATTCCACAAGCAAGATGAAATTATTACTACATTGATGTAAATGTACACCAGCCAAAGGATGTAAAATATTTATTTAAAAGCAAAAAATACTAATTCATATTGGCTGGAGTTGAATTATCTCCAATATACAAAGCAGACAATGCTTAAAAGCCACATTAAATAGGACTTCAATAATTTTAACTTCAAGCAGTCTATATGTAGTACTTGAAGAATAATTTAAAAAAAAAAATCTAAGAATGTATTATTTGGAAAAGATTGACAAATTAAAAGCATGCCGTGTAGAGATCTAAGATTCTTAAGCAAAGGAGCAAACCACATAACAATCAAAGACTCTGAAGCTTAAAGAAGCTCATTCCTTTTCATACCTCAGTAAAGAAGTTGCAAGTAACTGTTTTCAGCCACATGTTCCTGATGCTGCAAAAAATAAAGCAAAAAACCAAACAAACAAACCCAGCAACAGCTACCAAAACACAACAGCCCCAAACTACGCTTATTTGCCTGAAATATTAATAGACTTACTTTTCTTTAAGGAAATCCACTACTTGTCTGAAGTCTGCCACGCAGTATTCTCTTTTCATGTCCATGAGCACACTGTCAGAGGCTGACTGGACTGGTATGTGCAGAAAAGCATACACCCTCGGATGATTGAGAATCTTTGCCATTTCCTAACAGTTATTCAAAAAGATAGGAAAAAAAAAAAATAGCTTTCAAGCATTCTGAAACCAATATATAAACCTTTACACTCATACAAGGTAAATACCAGCAGTAATACTTCTGCAACCTAAACAACACTAAGTTTTGCAATGGCCCAGCTGGAGAGAGTAGGGACAGGTGAAAACATATGGAAGCAGTTTTGTTTTAAAAGAAAGAAGAAAGCCATGGGGTTGTATTTCCTTTGAGATAGGCCTGACACTCCCTAAGTAGTACTGGTTATTCATTTAGGAGAAAACTTTAGAAGAAAATTATTGCTAAATAATAGCCCCCGTGCTTTCAGACAGGGGCTGTTTTCAATTTCAGAAGATTGCAAGATTCAGCTGCTTTCTTGTCAGAATCAAGAGTTCTCATATACCAATACCTGAATGTCTCTAATTGGAGTACTCTTAGAACTGGCAATTTGCTAACTGAAGTACATCTAATTGTTTGCAAGTCTGCTCCAAAACTAGTCTGAAATCTCTTACCTGTGCTATTACAGATGAGGGAATTAAAAGCACTTGGGTATAGAAAGGATAGAACTCATCAGGGGGCTGCTAAAAGCAAAGGAATGGCTCGAAGAGAGGCAGAGGATATGATACATCATGTACAAAAAGTCAAATACAAAACAAATTAAAGGTAAAGGAATATGCCAACAAACCTCAAAACCAAACCTAACACCAGACAGACAGCTGGCATGGTGATGGAACATTACATGGGAAACAGAACACTGCAGTAATCTTTCTTTCATTTTTACTATATACAACTTTAAGGACATCAAATCTAGCAAGAAAGTTTAAATATTCTAAATACTGAGATAGAGCTGCATCTAGACAGCTGTAAAAATACAGCCTGTTAAACTTTACCCTGCAGAAAAACAAGTACACTTGGACAAAAAAATCCCCACATTATTACGCACACAACAAAGAAGCAAGCTTTCACTGAAGGTTTTCACTTTCCTCCTGCACAGTAAGTATGCAGGGTGCTGCACTGCCTGCTCCCATGCCATGTGTGTTCAGTATACTCCAGCCAGACCATTTCTCCTTTCTCTGACTGCACAGATGTTCTGTTTGATAACAGATACTGCCGCTGGGTTTAGTTGTTAAGTTGCAAGTATTTACAAATTCTTTCCAGGTCATTAATCAGCAATACTACCATGCACCTAGACTTTTCTTCAGTATTGATATAAGGTTGGCCTAAATTGTTGAAAGGGAAGCTAAGCACCTTCTCCTTCGGGTACCTTCCTCCTAAAAGCACTGATTTTTAGAACATAAACAACAACTATTCTCACAACACATGCCTTTCATTTGACAAACACACGTACAAAACCTAAAACCTCTCAAATCACTTTCAGAAAGCTGCTTTGAGGGTTTCTGCTTAAGATCCTGTTACAGATGCGCTTATGAGAAGCGACTGCATTATTCAATGGAATGCCTACTATAACCCGGATACGTAAACTAAATATTGAAGTAAAACTTGTATCAGTAGTGGAGGGTGCATGATTTGATGCAGAACAATGGTGTGTGCAGCTGGCTCTCAGTGGAAGCCACAGGAGAAGAACAGGCCACCGTGCATCCACACCAATTTTATGCATCCAATTTGAATGAACCATTTGCTTTTCTCCTTCATATTAGACATTCAGCTGGAATACACTGTTCAAGTAAAACAGCACAGAACAAATTCTGTAAAATCATATCACGAAATGAGAAACTTTTCTTTTGGCTTATTTAAGCTTTAGAAAATTCTATAGACGTTAATAAAAAGCTTTCTACAAGTCAACTGTGATTTTTTTGCTTATCGGTAGTGCGTATCTGAAACATCAGAAATAGCAGAAGAACTGGAATCGAGTCATCTATCACACCACTACTGCTTCACTCTTAATTCAAAACACTTCACTTGAGCTTCAAAAACACATTCAAGATGCAAGAAAACAATGAGAATTTCATAATATGTTTCTGAATCTGAAAAAAAGTAACTCTACAACGTAGAATTAATTCTTTCTCCTCTCAAATTTGGCATCTTCTGAGCAACAGCCTCTCTCTCACATGATTCACTTCATGAATTCTCTTTGAAAATCATCAACTACTTCTTAGGATTTCTAGCTACAAAAGCATTATTTGATCTCAGCTTTTGTAAGGCTGAGGATCATTTGATAGGAAAGCAGTGGATATCTATCCCAAACAAGATTTGGGAATATTATGCTCAAAAAACGTAGAATTTGTTCTTTTTCTTCTTGTTCCTCTGCATTCATACTAAACAACACATTTTTAATTTTCTTTTTTTAACCTTAAAACACAGATTGCTTTTTTTTTTTCTACAATAGTAGCAGCTTTTATGTTGCTGCAAAACTAGCAACACAGTGTAGGACAGCAGGAAGTAAAAGAGCATAAATAACTTGGATTTACCTATGTTATAGACACTGAATAGTAAAGAATAAGAAACTACCTTGCCTTACTACACATTTCATTTTGTTGCTTTTTAAAGCCAGAAATGAGGAATTTTTCTGTTTTTTTTTTTAAGAAGTGTCTCAATTCATGTTCTTCCTCTCTTCTTTGCCTTAGAAAAATGAAAAATCTTGCTGCAAAATATGAAAAGTGAAGAAAAAATCCTGAAAATGAAAGGGTGTTCTCTTATCCAGAGGACAGGTTGGGGCATGACCCCAACCCTCTAGCTGCTTGTCTTACAACAACTCGCACAAACCCAATTTTCTCACATTTGATCTAGCTTAATGAAGAGGGAACTTCAAGCAACACTTCCTGTAAAAATCAAGTCTTGCAATCACTGCTGTGTATATCCTGTAGGATTAAAACTTCTCTCATTGACAATCATTTCACTTGGTTCTGTATTAGTGTCCAGGCCACAAAATGTCCAGCATTAATAACAGAAAATTTCAACAGTAACTCCAAGACCCCGTATGCATCAAAAACATAAAAATCCTACAGGTAAAACTACCAGGATGGTCACTTATGCACTAAGTGAAATTTCTTGACAATTCTACTGCATTGTTTTGTTTTAGAAAGATGCACATCGGTTCCTTATGATCAAAGAAAACGCATTATTTAGAAGGAGCATTCCTTTTCCTATGTATCAGAAATGCATGTATAATACATGTTACATATCCAGGAGCTCTCATATAGTTTAGTCACTGTGGCCACAGGTTTTAAGCACGTTCTGGATCACAAAGCTTTTTCTACCCAACAGAAGACTGTAAATGTCTTCCTACTGCACCTACAGCTACACAAAATATACTATAATTACTTTAAGCAATGATGTTCTATTGAGCGTGTTCCTGTATTTTCAGGAATAGAGCTGAATTAAAGGCTCCATTGATACACTGGTTTTCCAAGAGCATAACTATTAATATATTATTAATATAATATATTGGCAGATTCAGCAGTGTGCAAACTGGACAAAGGACAGAAATACCTGATGAAACACTGTGCACTTCTCATTTGCTTTCTAAGTACCACTAGTGCTTGTCTCATAACCTATCAGTTGCAACCAGAGGCTCAGAATGAACAGTTTGAGACCTCTGAATAAACCAGTCTTCCAAATTTCTTAAGCACTCAGTTATAAATGAAACATTGTACCCCAAAGTTGTAAGGTAAGATCATTCTAGTCTTAGCATTTATCCTTCCTACACCTAAAATTACACTGAAGTAGTTTACAACAGAGTATGATTGAATACCATGATGTGTTGGACAGTCATACTTAGTGAATCCTGACAGATTTTCCTGCATCACAGATTATACACAGAATACTAGATTTCATCACTTAATAAAACCATTAGTTAATATCCCAGGGAGAGCTTGAAGGACATCACGTATAATTGCACTTTACAGTATCTCAACATTCTACACTTAACATCTGTTTCCTGCTGTTACACATACACATTTTTCAAATAAAGTGTTTTTAGATATAATTACATACTTCAGCTGGTAGGAAAAAATGCAATATTTAATTTTATTTCCATCTGGAAATAATAAAGGAAAGACTTTTTGAAATCATAAGACTGTGAAAGAAAATTTCCGTCTTTTTTCATGACTGAAACAGCCGATTGCCTTGCACCTCTCCCCACCCCTCCCCCCAATGGAATCTACTGGTACCTACATGAAGACATTTCTTATAGGAAAAAAAAAAAAAAAAAAAGTATTGCAATTTACTTTAAGCTGACATTGCCTAGATTTGGAATCTAACAATGTGTGTGAGAGATCCTGTGGGATACTGATGATGTAGGAAATAATTTTTTTCCAGTTCTTAGCAGCTGGAGTACATCTGAACACAAGGCCAGAATGGTTTTTATCCAGTCATTATATTTCATCCCAGCATCTACAATATAAGAACTTAACTGTCTAACCAAAAAGTCATTTCTGGTGTTTGTAATGACACCACACAGAACCACAGAGAATCAGAACCAATAAATATCAATATCCATGCATCTACACATATCTTTCCCCCAAAGCAGGCAGAAGTCAGGTGTTTGAATTCTTCCTCATGTTCAAGTTACAGTGGTATGAGCAAATGCTTTCTAGAAAAAAAATTCTGTCCTCTGCCAAACGCAAAGTCCAGTGAAACACTTGTCCCTATGGAAATGTGATTAAATGGCACTCCCTCAAAACTTCCTTCCCTTGTGGCAGATGTTAGTGTGAGATGTGTGGTGAGGGCTCTCTGCTGGCACTTGTCATCCAGAAGCCCAGTGGTGCTACCCCCAGCACAGCCTGGCCAAAAATCAAGTGACTGTGGTCCACTTCATAAATCCTCTACAGTGGGATCCAAGAACAGATGTGATCTAGTGATGGAAGCATGGTCATGATGACACTGAGAATGGACAGCCTGCAATGGTTTTGTTAAAATCTGAACAGGAAGCCCCTCATGCTTCCCTTTTGACCCCCAAGTAGTAGGATTGTGAAAATCCAAGATATAGGATATATGACATGCCTCCCTAAGGATGCTGTTTGGAATTCAGTGCCTCCCC